TTTTTTTTTTTTTTTTTTTTTTTTTTTTATATATTATGAAACTAGATGTACTTATTGTTGTTGTTGTTGTTGTTGTTGTTGGTGGTGGTGGTGGTGTTGTTTACAGCATTTGAACAAAAAATTTGAAAGAATCTGGCAGAGAAAATAAATATGGGTTGATGTGCCCCCTCTCACTCCAAAGAAAAAGTAACAATAAAGATCACGCAACGTACTACATTCAAGAAAGACTGGCAAAGGGAGATTTTGAATGCTTTCTTGCACCATATCTGAGCCAGTAAGTAACTTCACTTTCATGCCATTTCTTATTGTCCCATACAAATAAGTATAAACTAACAACACAACTATGTTTTCTTCTTTTTTAAATGTTAGGGATTATTGGCAGTTGATTCTTCTTTGCCCTAAAGGTGGTTTGCTTTTGTTCCTTTTCAAAAAAGCTTAAGAATGATATAGTCCAGAAAATCACGACGTATGTTTTATTTTACATGATTTTGATCTAATTTTTAGAAATTATTTTGAAACTAAACTCTCTATTTTACATTTATTATGTTAGGGCATTTTCCGCATATCAGCTAATGAAGGGAAATCGTCCCTACAAATAGAAACCCGAATTGATCTATCCAAAGGTAAATTTACTTTTTAAACAATGTTATTTTGTAACTTCCAATTTCATTTTCTTACTAGAAATTTAATCATTATATTTATCTTATTTTTTGTAAGTTATTAATTTTATACGATTCTTTTCATATTTTTCAAGTGTCGCCAACAATCGGGAGGTGTTGAATGTGGGTATTTCGTTATGAGATTGTTGACGTAGAGATCTCCTCGACCGTCGGATGAACAACACGTGGATTGTTGCAATGGTCGAAAATCGCGCTGAAACGAGAAAAAGGGGAAAGTCTACTGAGCTGAAGGAACCGACTACGTAAAGAGCGGACCTCGGGAGAAACCCGACTTATGGAGGGCCGACCTCAAGTCGTCAGAAGACGCATTAAATGCCCATACAATCAATCGTCTCGACCCACGTGAAGGCATCATTACTGGGGGGCCCACCGACGAGAAAAGCCGCGCCCAAGTGTCATTCGGCATTTAATGCCACCGGTTCTCCTCAAAAGAAGAGCCCACAGTTACTATAATTAGCAACATTAAACATGATACGAGGATCTTTTTTCGGCACATTAAATTCAGTATTTATCACCTCGGCTTAGGGGTGTGCAAAATTCGACTGAAATTGACCGAACCGACCGAAACTGACCGAACTGACCATTTCGGTTCGGTTTTTATTCGACTCGGTCGGTAGTCGGTTTTCAATTTGTGAATTTTCGGTTATTTCGGTCGGTGTCGGTTTTCGGACACAAAATATCCGAAATAACCGAACCGACTGAATAATATCATATTATATATTATAAACTTATAATATAATATTTTAATATTATACTTTAGTCAATAACCCTAATCCTCCTCACTCAGTTCACTCTTCATTTCAGAAACACCCGCTGATCCTCAAATCCTCCGCCGCTGAAGTTTTTTTCCCTCCTCCCGTACACCCCTAGCCACTGCTCCTCCGCCGCTGCTCCTCCACAGACCACCCTAAATCGCTCCAATCAGAACCATTCCCGACATCCCTCGAATCATCCGGTCAGCAAAATATCATCCCCCCTCTCTCGTCTGCGTGTACTTCGGTCCTCGGTCCCCGTCAAGGAGCTCGTGGTCACCGATTCACCGGTCGTCGACTCGCCAAGCACACACACGGCTGTAAGTAATTTTTTCTTTTTTTTGGTTTTATTTTCTGAAGTCACAAATCTCAAATTAACAAATTGTAATAAGATAATACATGATTGATCTGTTTTTGAAGGTGTTGCTGCTGTTTATTTGTTGTTGTTTTGGGACACCACTTTTGCTGTTTTGGGGCTGTTTTGGAGGCTGTTTTGGGGCTGTTTTGGAGGCTGAAATCTGGGATTTTATTGATGTCTTATGGCATTTTATTGTTGTTTCTGGGAAATATATGCTTTGATGGAATTTTATTTTATCGTTGGGATTTTATATTGTTGTTGCTGCTACTTTATTGTTGTTTTTATGGGTTGTTTGAATTGATATCTGGGACTTTTAGACTTGTTTTGGGTGTTATTTTTTATACTTTTAGCTTGGCTTGGAGTTGTTGGATTTGGAATTGAAATTTGGATATGTTTTTAGATTGTATTTTTGTTGTATGGATAATTGTGTTTGGGCCCAATAAACCATCTTAATTTTTTTATTTTTTTTTCTTGTAAAAATTCGGTTAACCGACCGAACCGACCGAACAGTTCGGTTCGGTTAAAATTCGGTTTAGGCACTTAATTCGGTCGGTTCGGTTTCTACAATTTGACAATTCGGTTAATTTGGTTTTCGTAGTTCGGTTCGGTCGGTCGACCGAACCGACCGATGAACACCCCTACCTCGGCTCAATAACTAATAACAGTATTATTGTGCGACCGAAACCCGACCTCAAGTCCGATATACCGACTTGAGTCTGTTGTGACACTTCTCCAAGTTATATCATAAATTCACCTTATTTCGGTATAACTCAAAAAAATTAATACTTAAAAAAGGTTGATCAAATCCGTTTATCAACAGTTTGGCGCTAGAGGAAGGGCTCATAAGATATCTTGAGGTCAATCTTTGAATCCAGCATCCACTTTCGAGACCGTTGACGCGAAAAACACACAACGATGACGCAACCGGGACAAGATGACCAAACAACAAGGGAGGGGACAGCCGTGGTCCAATCCCTTCTACCGGTAGAGCCAACACAACAATGATACCGGACCTTGCTACACTCATGCAGAAACCTGAGTTCGCAAAAGGCTTCTCGACGCTGCTGGCTCAAACTATGCCAGGAACCTCGAGGACCGTACCAGGACAATCACTTGCGCCCATCACCCCGGCCAAATCGGCAGCACAACAGTTGCAGTAAGGCTTAAACAACCAAACACGCTCACACGCGACATCCCAACCAAGGGACGACGCCACCCAGTGACCTCCTGCCCAGACGGTGAACCCCCAAGAGCAAAATCTACAGGAGATGACGGCGGAGAGCGAATCCGGGCATGTTCGGAGGGAAACCGCCGTCGCTAGACCCTTGTTCAGGCCAGCAGAAAATCAGACCGACCTCCGACATCAAATAATGAGGTGCCGAACGACTAGACACGACAACCCCGAAATGGAAGCCCTGAGGAAAAGGTTTGCCGAACTCAAAACTTTGCAAAACCGAAGGGCAAGGTCGCCACCCAACCCGCGCAGTCAAGAGACAGACCATGTGTACGTGGAAACGGATTCCCCACTATCCCTCGAGCTGACTTTAGAGCCACTACCCGAGAAAATAAAAGTCCCGCAAATCGGCCTTTATGACGGAACGTCGGACCCCGACGCTCATCTCGGGCATTATACTTCATGGATGGACTTGCATGGGGCCACCGACGCCCTCAGGTGTCGTATGTTCTCCCTAACTCTGGGACCAAGAGCGCAGAAATGGTATTATTCATTGCCCGCGCAATTCATCCGACGTTGGGTTCAGCTCAGGTCGGTCTTCCGCTCCCATTTCATCGGGGCACAAGTTTGCCTCATTCCAAAAGAGTCGATCACTAACATTGTCCAAAAAGACGACGAGAGCCTGAAGGAGTATGTGGCCCGCTTCAACGAACGTGTGCAGAATATGGAACCGTGCCACCCTGAAACCCTCCTGGTGAGCGCCATCTCGGGATTGAAGCCCAAGTCGATGTTCAGGTGTGCACTTTGTCAGAACGAGCCCAACACGTTCCAAGAATTTTGGGTTCGAGCACAAAATCACGTGATCGCCGAAGAGAGTATGTCGGTCCCCGACCTCACATTCACTTCCCAAGGACAAAAGTCGACGTCGGAGAAAAAGAAAAATCTTTTAGCATCTCGTCCAAGAAGACCTCCTCTACAGACCCGAGATGGGGAGACCCGAATGATCCCGAGGTACGAGCAACCCGGAAACAGTATCCGGAGGACTTAAAGGCAGGATACCGATCGATCTACTCAGTTGGAGCGGCAGCCATCTATGAAGAGATAAAGGGAAAGGGAATCATTCCCGATGCCCGACCAGTAAAAACTCCAGAGAATCAACTTGACAAAGCCCGATATTGAGACTATCACAGATCGCCGGGCCATAACACAGATGAGTGTTTGAGCCTGCTGTCGGCCCTGATGAAACTTATCGGTAACCCCCAGGTGAGGAAATTCACCAAAGCCGACGATAACAAAGGGAAGCGAATGGTACAAGAGATTCTCGATGATGATGAATGAGATGAGGGGGGCCGAATTTCAAGAGGCTCCGTGCGCAAGGAGACAAAGAAATCTTTGTGATCGGATCAACGGACGTCGGCTCGCCCCCTGACCGACCTGGGAAGAGAGGCCGAGAAGCCGATACCTAGCCGCGATCCGACCTATCTCCACCAACTTCGGGCCGCTCAAGTCCCATTCCCTGAGTTAACACCAATCGAGACGCTCTGACGTCTTCCCGAAGGCAGGCCAAGGCATACGCGCGAAGGGCATACAACTCGAGAAAACAGGTGATGACTTCGGACCTCAGGGAAACGATCAATGCTCGCACTTGCCCGATCACCTTCACACTGGAGGATGCAAGCTTATTCGACCATCCGCACTCGGACGCGCTTATAATCACGACCCCCATTTGCGGCATTCCCGTCCATCGGATCATGGTGGATACCGGGGCCTACACGAGCATTCGCATGCTCAAGGCATTCAACAAGCTCGGGATAGACCCTGCCGAAGTCCGCCCTTGCAACGACCGTGTCCACGTCTTCAACGGAAGCATAGCTCTCCCATTGGGAGAGATCACGCTCCCCATCAGATTCGGGGGACAAGGGCAAACGTCCAAGGTCATCATGGAGACCTTTAAAGTAATGGATCTCGACAACGAATACAATGCGATTATCGGGAGGAAAGCGTTGTACAAACTCCGAGCTGCAGTTTCCATTTTCCACTACGCCATAAAATTCCCGACGGCAGACGGAGAAGGAACCCACTACGGAGAGCAGAGAGAAGCCAAGGAATTGTTCTTGGAGATACAATCACGAGAAATCCACACAGTGGAAAAAGCCAACGCCGAGGTAGGCGATAACCAAGGTCCTGGGGGGGACGAACAACCGCCGACCTCAGACGAAGAAGACAAAACTCGAGATCGGGAAAGATGACCAGGGAAAGAGCCCGCCAAGGAGGACGACGCCCTCGACCCCCAAGATCAATTCAAAGAAAAGAAGTCGGGAAACCGAGCCGAGCCTTCAGAGGAGGTGGAGATGATTAGTGTCGACGAGTCCACCTGTGACAAGCAACTCCGAATAGGAGCATGCTTACCCGAACCGCTCAGAACTGAACTGATACGGTTCCTCCGAGCAAACGCCGACGTCTTCGCGTGGAGACATGAAGACATGAAAGGGATCGACCCAAAAGTTGCGTGCCATCGGCCCAACATCGACAAGACCGTGAAGCCAGTCATTCAGAAGAGAAGAAAGCTCGGTCCGGACCGACAACAAGCCCTCGAGGAAGAAGTGAACAAGCTAGTCGACAACAAGTTCGTCAAGGAAACCAAATACCCAACTTGGGTGTCCAACCCCGTCCTGGTCAAAAAGGCCAACGGCGCGTGGCGGCTGTGCATAGATTTCTCCGACCTCAACAAGGCTTGCCCCAAAGACAGCTATCCCCTGCCACACATTGACTACATGGTGGATGCAACCTCATGCCATGAACTCATGAGCTTCATGGACGCGTACTCGGGCTACAACCAGATTCCTATGGATCCGGAGAAGGCGGAGCACACCTCTTTCTACTCGGCTCGGGGCTTGTACTGCTACACGATGATGCCTTTCGGATTGAAGAACGCTGGGGCCACATATCAGCGGTTGGTCAATAAAATGTTTTCTAGACTGATAGGGCAAACTATGGAAGTCTATGTAGATGACATGCTAGTGAAGTCGATAAACGCAAATGATCATGTAACCCACCTGAATGAAATGTTTAAGATTTTGCGTGATTACTCGATGGTGTTGAATCCGAAAAAATGTACCTTTGGGGTAAAGTCGGGAAAGTTCTTGGGCTATATGGTAAGCCAAAGGGGAATAGAGGCAAATCCTGCGAAGATTCAAGCAATACTCGACCTCAAGCCCCTCACCTCGGTGAAAGGGGTGCAGGCCTGACTGGGAGGTTAGCGGCCCTGAACCGATTTATTTCGAAGTCAACTGACCATTGCAAGCCATTCTTCGACGCCATCAAGAAAAGGAAGAAGTTAGAATGGACCGTCGAATGTCAAGAAGCGTTCGACAACATCAAAGAGACGCTGACCCGACCTCCTGTTTTGCAAAAACCAAAGCCCGACGAAGTGCTATATTTATACCTCGGGGTGAGCAGCTCGACGGTCAGCGCGGTGCTCATAAGAGAAGAAGGGACATGTCAACACCCGGTCTACTACGTGAGCAAGGCGTTGCATGATGTCGAGCTCAGATATCCCCCAATGGAGAAGTTGGCTTATGCTCTCGTCATCGCGGCAAGGAAACTCCGACCATACTTCCAAGAACACTCGATCACAGTCTTAACAGCCCATCCGTTGAGGCAATTCCTACATAGGCCTGACAACTCGGGGCGAATGATTAAATGGGCCATAGAGTTGGGACAATTCGATATACATTACAGACCCCGCACGGCCATCAAGGGACAGGTGTTATCGGACTTTATCGCCGAGTTCATCCCTGCAGTCCGAGAGACGACGGACAACCAACCATGGGTGATGTACGTCGATGGGTCGTCAACAACGACCCGAGCTGGAGGAGGTGTAGTCTTGATCGATCCAGAACAAAGAGTATATTGCCACTCAATTCAATTCCTTTTTCCGGCTACCAACAACGAGGCCGAATACGAGGCCTTGCTGTCCGGCCTGAGCCTTGCCGAGACCATGAACCTGACCCACCTGAACATCTTCTCGGACTCTCAGTTGCTCGTCAATCAAGTCCTCGGCAGTTACGAGGTGAAAGAACTGCGGTTAGTACCATATCTGGCGTTGGTCAAACGACAGATGGCAAGATTCGTAGCTAAGATCGAGCACATCCCGAGGACGTCGAACGTGCGAGCGGACGCCCTGTCACACCTCGCCTCCAGCGCGAATATGGAGGACGTCGAATACGTTCAGGTCGGAAGTCAGGAAAAACCGTCCACGTCGGCGTCATTGGTCGGCCAGGTCGAAACCGACGAGGTCGACAAAATACCGACTTGGATGGACCCAATCATCGCACACCTAAAGTCGGGGATACAACCCCAAAATCCCTGAGAAGCTCGGTCATTGCGGATCCGAGCTGCCAGATACACCTTAGATCGAGAAATACTCTACAAGCGAGGATACTCGGTTCCACTCCTAAAATTCTTGACAGAGCAAGAGTCACTGTTCGTACTCCAAGAGATCCACGACGGCATCTGCGGAAGCCATTCCGGGGGCCAGGCCCTCGCCTACAAAATCCTACGAAGGGGGTATTACTGGCCGACCCTCAGGCGGGATGCCTCCGATTGGGTAAGGAGATGCAATAAATGCCAGATATTCGCACCAAACAGGAATCTAGTGCCAGAACCTCTCAAGTCGATCGTGAGCCCCTGGCCATTCGCCAAATGGGGGATCGACCTGATAGGACCACTGCCAACCGGAAAGGGAGGAGTGAAGTTTGCCGTTGTAGCGGTGGACTACTTCACCAAGTGGGCAGAGGCGGAACCGTTAGCAACTATTACCGAGTCGAAGATGATCAACTTCCTCTGGAAGTCGGTAATATGTCGTTTCGGCGTGCCCAATTCAATCGTCACCGACAACGGGAGACAGTTCGAAGGAAGAAAGCTGGAGGACTTCTGTGCGTCTCACGGTATAAAGCACTATTTCTCAACTCCATATCATCCTCAGTCGAACGGCCAAGTCGAAGCAGTAAACAAGTTAATCAAGAACAGTCTCAAGGCATGACTTGAAGCAGCGAAAGGGGCCTGGCCGGAAGAGCTGCCAGGTGTTCTGTGGGCATACCGCACGTCTCCGAGGTCGTCGACGGGAGAGACCCCATTTTCTTTGGCGTATGGATCGGAAGCCATGGTTCCCGTGGAACTCGGGTCGCCAACCTACCGTGTAGAGAATTTCACAGAAGATCAAAACAACGAGAACTTGCGCATGAATCTCGACTTGGTCGAAGAGCTACGAACGCAAGCCGAACTCAGAAACGCGGCTTGCAAACAGAGGAGCGAACGGTATATCAACTCAAAACTCAAACCCATGACTTACCGAGTTGGCGACCTGGTCCTAAAAAGAGTGACAGGGCCTAATCCTTGCCCCTTAAAACCGAAGTGGGACGGACCCTTCAAAATAAGTCAAGTGCTACCCCATGGGGCCTATCGGTTGGAGGATCTGGATGGCACGTCCCAGCGATACCCGTGGAACGCGGTATACCTCAAAAAATACTATCAATGACGACGAATCGGCCTCCACGCCACTAGTCGGTCTCCGCACCGACGTTCTGCAAAAACCAGCCTCCGCGCCACTGGTCGGTCTCTGCACCGACGTTCTGCAAAAACTGGCCTCCGCGCCACTAGTCGGTCTCCGCACCGACGTTCTGCAAAAACCGGCCTCCGTGCCACTAGTCAGTCTCCGCACCAACGTCCTACAAAAACCGGCCTCCGTGCCACTAGTCGGTCTCCGCATCGACGATCTCCAAAAAAGGGCCTTCGCGCCACTAGTCAGTCTCCGCACCGACGTTCTGCAAAAACTGGCCTCCGCGCCACTAGTCGGTCTCTGCACCGACGTTCTGCAAAAACCGGCCTCCGCGCCACTAGTCGGTCTCCGCACCGACATTCTGCAAAAACCGGCCTTCGCGCCACTAGTCGGTCTCCGCACCAACGTTCTGCAAAAACCGGCCTCCGCGCCACTAGTCGGTCTCCGTACCAACGTTCTGCGAAAAACGGCCCCACGCCATAAGTTGGACTTGTTGAAGGACCCTCCCCAGGCGAAACTGCAAAGCCTGAAAGGTTCGAGGCACTGAAAATTTATCATGTAAGGCAAAAAACCCTCGAACAATCTTTTTAGCAAGAGTATTTTGTAAGCAAGAAAGCCTTTGTAAAGATAAATATCTCCTCAAAGTTTTTGTACCAAAGTCTTTTGTACACAAGAAAGGTTTTTGAATCAAAAAGGAAGTGTTTTGAATTCGAGAATGTTTTTTGAGGCCGCGCTGTATTTGGTAGTTAATGCAAAACAAAACGATTGTTCAACGTGTTGCAAAAAAAAGTTGAGGCCGGCCCAAGTATTATTGCCGACTATCCATATGAAAGTAAAGATATTTGGCTAAGTAAAAAGAGGCAATAAAACATAAAGCTTAAAAGCAAACTTCATTTATTCAAAGGCCCGGGGAAAGATCCTTACAAGTATCACGCGGATATTAAAAACTAGGGACGTGTCGACTTAACGATCCCCGTCCGAAAAAACGACAAAAGCCAAACTGAAACACGCGCGCCAACAGAAATGGTCCGCGCAGAGCAAAAGGAAAACATGCAAAATCTACAAATTGAAAGGGACAATGCTACTCGGCAGACCGCCCGACGTCTTCCCCGGGCCTCTCAGGCTCGGCACCAGTCTTCTCGGTGTTTCCTGCCACCTCCCCCGGATCCTTCTCAATCTCTTCCCCGACCTCGTCGTCGGTATCCCCTGAAGTATCCTTGATCTTCTCACTCAGTTTGGCATAGATTGCCGCATCCAAAGCTTGGGGATCAACTCGGATCTTCACAGTCCCAGGGTCGGCCGCCTCGACCACAGTGACTAGTTCGGTTGGCGGGGTAGATATTTTGGGGTCGTCGTCCATAGCAGCGGCGGACATCCTGTCGGCATACTCCACCACTTCTTTCTTAATCTCGGCCGGGGTCAGAGTATCGAAGTGCTCAACGGTGATGTCGGCCAGGGTGTCGATGAATTGAAGACCGAGTTCCTCCCTCTTTTCCTTCTCAGCCTCAAGAACCATCTCCATGAAGGCCTTTCGGAGAGCAACACGCCTA